CGTGACTGGCCCGGAACATATGCAGTCTTGGATCCAACATTGAAGATTCGGGATCTGACCGAGCTCAGGGTTCAAATTAGGTCCTCGCCATGGATACCCAATAGGTCCATCCTAAATACTTAAATACCCCAAGGAACGTAAAGAACTCATCCCCAGCAATTAGATACACCCACCCAAGACCTAGTCAAGACGCGCTCAAGATGATCATTTCTTGCCAGCTAAAATCCCATGATGGCCAGCCCATTGAAGGCGTTTTTTGTGGAGCTTGAATTCATGGACTTGAAGGAAAGAAGCGAACAGAGAGAAAACCGAAGAGCGTCGAGACTTTACCCCTAAATTAAACTTATCGCTGCAATCCCGTCAACCACTTGTCAAAAGATTATCCTAAGCTGGATTTCATTAATCTCGGCGACTATCCCTCTTGAAGGGCCAGCAGTGCAGATCCTGGCTTCATCAAGTCTCCCCAGACCGTAAATAGTCATCTCTCCAGAAGGCAAGGTGACTACCTGGTGCGATGGCTAGCATTTGTACCACAATGCAACTCTCTGTAGAAAAAGGATTCCCGAAAGAGTAAGAATATCACACGCCCCGAAGGGCTACATTCGCAAATTCTGGCGTGAAATTGCAGGCTCGAGCCTTGCATCTAAGATCTTGCATCTAAGATCCTGTATCTAAGGCCTTGCATCGTAAATCTTGCATTCTCAAATCTTGCATCTCAAATCTTGCATCTAAGAATTGATTTGATTTATTGGTTCATAGACTTGCCCAGTCACTTTTAGACGGCTATGCAGCAATCGACTATAAATACAGTTATGTCCGCAGCGCCCGTCTGGGGTCCATATCCACAAGGGCATTTGTCGGCGTCCGCTCTGTTGATTCCGTGGAGTGTAGGCCAAGAGGCCCACTGGTGCTCAGCTTTGGCCCCTAAGAACAATCCATCTGGTCCGCACCCACGTACCTTCACCTTTGGCACCCTGCGTACCTCGCGACAGAATTCGAGGAATTGGAAAAAAAGCGACCAGGAGCGATGTTCCTAATAAAGCTCCTCAGTAAAAGCCAGATAAGACGTAGATGGGACAAGCCATAACCACGGCACCTGAGGCGCTCAGCCAGGCTGGCCAAACCTCAAACAAACCCCAATCCCACAGAACCAACCAGCCAAGAATACGCAGTTTGGAGACTTCCAGTTTGCCGAATGGACTGCTCTGGCTGGATCCAAGCAGGCGTGTCGAGGGCATTGGAATGACAATAATAGGGTACAACTAGGCGCATGGAAATGCACTAAGCTAGTGGGCTAGTCTAGTGAGTTGAGACTGGGGTGCGTAGAGACGCATGGAAAGGCAACAAGCACAGTGTGTTGCCGGGCAGTGAAATGACAATGATATGGTGCAACTAGGCGCATGGAAATGCACTAAACTAGTGGGCTAGTCAGTAGTGAGTTGAGACTGGGGTGCAGAGAGAGGCATGGAAAGGCAACGAGCACAGTGTGTCGCCGGGCAATGAAATGACAATAATGGGGTGCAAACAGGCGCACGAAAATGCACTAAGCTAGAGAGCCTGTGGGCATTGAAATGACGCTTACTGAGATACAAGCAGATGCATAGAAATGCACTTAACGCATTTCTCAGAGGGCAGTGAACCGAACCCAATGGACTTGCACACACGCACTTACATATGCCGTATACAGGCACGGAGGAAGCAAAGAGCGTGCATTATACTTATACGCACTCAAACTCACTGAGCCATAGTTGACGTGGTTGACCGTGCTGTAATGAAACCAACGACACCAGACCACGCACAAGAAATGGGTCATGGTAGAGAGCAGGAAGAGCCAGTTAATAAAAACAGAATCCAGATCCTAGTTTTTAGATCTTTGAAGCTATAGTCAAATAAAACGTTAAATAGCCAGATTCGAGAATCAAGATTCCCAGAACTAGGATCTTGCTTTTCATCTGGCGGCAGTTAAATACTCACCTATCTTTCTGTTCAGCCCTCAATGAACATGGCATCTGCATTGTTCATGACACTGATGATATGGAATCGTGACATACTCTGAGACAATGATTCAGGATCAGGCTATTAGTTCAAATGTTGAGCAAGCCAGACCCTTGAATGTCCCGAAGAGGTTGACGAAGAGAAAGCAGAAAAACAAGAACAAGAAGAAGATGAAAATCGTACCTCCAGACAGGCTTATGGTCCGCGATCCATTCGCTTTCTTTGCGGACAATTTCCAAAGCGTTGTCGCAGAATGGATTTCGTTGCTCGCTAAGACAACCCCTCGGACATGTGAGATTGCTAGCACAAATCCTCAATTAATCACTGCCTTCCAAGACGTGGATAAGTATCTCACTGGGAGACAAAGCAACTACCTCCTGCGGCGACTGGCATTTGTCCAACTTATGCGGCTGTCTGACTTTATCGAAAATATTATTCAAAGCGAAAGAGAAACAGGATCACCACGCCAAGCTGGCTATGGGGATGCGACTGTCGTGATCGAGCTCTACAAGAAAGCGCAAGGAATCTCTGATACAAAACAGTTGACCAGCATAGTCCGAGAGCGCAGGCGGATGGGAAGGCAATGGGAAAGGCTTGCAGGCCCTTCGCCTTTATTCCTCTTGGTGTACTCTAGCTACGCCGATACGATTGTGTATGAATATCCAAAGCATGTTGCATGACTGAAAACTAATATGTTTAATTGCCATTAGTCGCAGATCCTCCGGAGTTGACAAAACAGCTATGAGCTTGCTGGCTACCCAAGTCCAGCAGACGTTCTCGCCCAAGCTTATTGATACATGCGTTCAGCTTACTGAAATGGCAGACACGGCGGCTAGGTTAAATCAAGATGAACAAAAGGACGCCATAAAACAGGTAACAAATTACTTTCACTCGCTACGAGCAACAATGTGATTCTTCCGACATCAAGTTTGGGCCTCGTTGGAATTGTACCACCCTCCATATCACATCGAGGATAGGTCGTGGGATGCAAGTTTCGGCGAGATCATGCAGCGTACGAGTATCATGGCATCTATGTCTATGGTAATGCTGTTGGTGCATAGTGAATGTTTGGGGCGCCGCCGAAGCCTGTCGCAGTTACTGGTAGCAGTTTATCCGGGGACTTTGGACGGGGTGACACCACCAGCAACAATCCGTTTGTGACACCACCGACGAGCAACGGGTTTTGCTGGTCTGGGGGATCTAGCTCGCCATTTGGTGCGGCGCAGAGATTCTCAAAGTCTAGATCCCCCTACTCACTTGTTTCCAAAACGACGGCGTTGGATACCTACTCGGGTTCGAAGGTGTCCTCTAAGCGCAAGCGTGCTACCACGGATGATGACGAAGACCTGGGAAAGCACTCTGAGACTCGGCAACACTGTATTTCCCTATTTTTGAAGAAATACAGGATTTATGAGCACAAATTTCAGGCTAATGGTACTGATGGTACGGCGACGATGCCTACAATTGTCAGTGCATTCCTAAGCCATTGTCGAATGTGGCACTTTGCTTACACATACGCCATATGCATGCTCACAGTTAGCCCTTGGGTTTGCACACTTTGTTATCCGTGCCACGCTTTTTGTCCCTGTTTTCAAGAGGCTTGTTCAGTTCGTATACAAAGAATGTGACACACGCGATAGTAGCTTGCGGTTGCTCATTGCCGGGTTTGCTGCTTGTGTGATCGAAGATGTCTCAAGACTGGAAGGTTGGAGAGGTTTACTCACTGATGTACCTGCCTCCAAGGCAGACCTGGGTAATGAACTGTTGCATGCGATGGAGACGCTGTAAACCCGTAGGCTCCTTGGTGAGGTCAAGACACTGGGTTTTGGAAACAGAAAGAAAGGTATGCATGCTCAGAACTAGCTTGTGAACTTGTATATCGGGTTGTTCGTGAATTGCTCGCATGACTTCTGCAGCTGATTTTGCTGTGGAGTCTGTGCGTGCATGTGAGGGAAATACTGTCCTCCGTTGTTTCGTTATTTTGTTGTTTACTTTAGGGAAAGAGATTTGTTTTTTGTTGAAGCATTAAATTTGTTTGGGCTGTACAAAAGTCCTTTGCGGATGATTGCGCTTGCGACTCCTTGTTGCCCGGTTCGCCGCCTGTGTGCGGAGAGACGTGTCAGCTCCAGAAGGCTAGAAGGAATTACTCGCAGATTGTCAGACTTTTGCAAGTGATTCGGGCTTGAAATATGTGCGTGCAGCGCCGAAGTCATAGGTAGTGAAGATTGGTCCTCTAGACTTGGGAAATCGAGATTTATATCTGTTATCTTATCGCTTCTCAAACAGGAGGTCAAGACGGACCGCCGACGTGGTCGGACTTGCGTGAAAGGAAGATGTGACAGTGTCGCAATCGATGCGTACGTTCAAGCTCGAGTTCCACAGTCTAGCAAAGGTGGCAGAGACCAGGCAATAAAACACGTCAGGGTGAGTAAGCGCTGGCACGCCACTCCCATTGTTCAGTGGAGTCCCCAATCTACCCCTGCAAGCAGTGTCGTCCGTGCCAAACACCACTGAAGCGAAGAAGTCAATGTGTTCTGTGATGGAGGATCAACCCCCAGGAACGGCTCGCGGTTTCCGTACGATATCGTTTCCTCCACATCAAGTATCTCCTTATTAGGCTGACAAATCCCATACAAGTGCACACTCTTTTCTTCATCTGAAGACGAAAAGCTTGGAAGGCACTCGAACATTCAATAGCGCTGTATTGCTGTATTTGAGAACAAATACACGAAATGACTGGTCCTGCTCACAGCTGGCCTGCGAGCTTTCACAGTGGGGATTAGTGCCTCAGACTTTGTTAGCGATTTCGAATCGCTAGTTCGCGCTTTGTGCATAACGACGCGCCATGCAAGACTGCACCTTGCGAGCGCTCATTCCTGAGTACGCTGCTTGCGTGATCAAAGATGTGTTGACATTCGAAGGTTGGGCAGGGCTGCCTGTGGACCTGCCAATACTTGAGGCAGATATAGGCTTAGCATTGGTACGGTCGATGCAGAAAGTGTACTTTGATAGTCAAAATTGGTCTCCTAGATGTCCCCATATATCTGTGGTTCGCGATGCTGTGTCAAGTCTGTAGTTCTCTTACAACGAGGAGGGAAAGAGATGTCAAAATAGATTGTATTCCTGAAACCTCAACCAAATCAGTGCGCAGTGGTCTTCCACCACCTGCTGGCCTCTTCATACGACAACTGCGAAATGTATTGGGTAAGTTACAGTGAATGCTAGTGGCTACTACAGTCTTTGCCGACCTTCAATAGCAATACTTACGGGCCTAAACTACTGTCCTGCTATTTCCCAATCCATAGGGTCCCCGGCACCGCCCCCTCCTGCCTGTCGAAGCTCGCGCTGCTTCCCCATCGGAATCTCAACCTCCTTCAGAGCAACAGCATACACAGCCTCCAACCCCCCCATTATTTCCATCACAATCCATCGCACATCACACATCATCGACAACACCTCCTCTGACTCTCCCGGGTCCTTCCATCTATTTCTCAATTCTTTCGCCTGCCACAACGCCTGATTCACACTACCTGTTCCTAGAGTAGCGCGCAGTGAATCATTTTCCTCCAGCGCTTTCAACACGTCATGATGGTAAGAGTGACGTGACCATCCATTCAACGGAAGTCCACCAACCTTTGGTTTACTTGTCTCCCTTTGCACGGAGACCCTGAAAATGTGTAGTAAATTGACAATAGCCTGTTCAATTAATGCATAGAATCCTTCGAAATCCAGTTTAAAATTACGCTCTGCATCTTTCAAGGTGAACCCGGATGCCAAGGGTATTGAAGTGCGACGATATGAATCACTAAGGCCTATGAGCTTCCAGCGGAGACGGTGCCAGGTTTGTTCAAAGCAGCGGAAGGCCTGAAGACGAGCAGGAGTTGCCGCATCAGAAGACGCCGTACTTGCTTCTTCCGTTGCCGTCATCATTGAGGCGATGGGCAGCGCTTGCGACGAGGCAGATCTTGGTTCATGGAGGCGTGTGTCGAACATGTGATGCGAAGGGGCCGAACGAGGTCCTCTCTTAGGCATTTTGAGGTGGTGACTTAACTGCGTGGTTAGATAAATTTCCGTGATGCTTTGCACCAAATCAATGAGTGCACAGTTTAGGACGCGTTTGAACAGTTATTTACGTGCTGTATAGATGCACGATTTTAGATTGAGGTTCCCAGATCACAGACCTTAGCAGCGAAGTCTAAAAACCGAGATAAAACCCACCTCGTCCACAAAGGGCCCGTACGCCTTTTGAACGTAATGGCTAATGCATGTGTATGAAATCAAGAATCTTGAAAGTACGTTTTAAGACGACAGCCTCTCGAGGGACGGCATTCTCGAGTTTGCCCATATTCAACAAAGGCGACCTAATGATGATAATGCTAAAGAACTCTCAGAGGTATTAATATTTGATCCCATTTAAAGTATAAGATTAGATTCACGACTGCTTGACTGGGACCGATCATGATTTCCAAAAATATTAGCGCATACTAACTACCCTTGCGTGGTTGCATAAAGTGAACTCCGTTTAGATACCTTAAGCCGTAGCAGAAATTGAAGTGTTCGGTAACAAAAATGACGCACTTTGTTGCCCTCGGAAGATGTATACATAGTGCGATGTGATCGCCTCCTCAGCGTTTCATACACAGCCAAGAATGACATAAGGATCTTGGGGTCACAGTGATCGAATCCCTTCCCACGTGTTTTTATCCTCAACACGCCACCCATGTGCAAATCTTTATCGCTAATAAATTCGGCGAGAACCTCATTGGTCCTCTGATCTAGAAGTGTAAAATTCCGGCGGTTCATTCCCCGAGTATGCTTCGTTATCCAAAGGAGCTCCGCAGTCCCTCCGTGAGGGAGAAACGTTGTCCATCTGTACTCTTCCTGGCTGTGATCTTGCCACGTTAAGTATATCTGCTTCTTCTTCTTCTCCTCCTCCACCTCTTCCCAATGTGTTTCGTGCTGCTTATTAGGGTTATTGAAGCGAATATGTATCTTCCAAGAAGCCCAATGCATGTATGATACAGCAATGTCTGGAGAGGGGGTGTGCAGGTCAAGAAGGGTGAGTTGTTGAAAGTGCTCATTAAAAGTCATTTCAGCATAGAATTCCGGTCGCTCCTCATCTGACAGGACATTGTAGCCCGGCTGCAATGGATCCCTCCATATGGCAAAGCGCCTCACGAGGGTGTCTTCCTCGTCGGCGGAGGCCACCGATGAGTCCGGAGCGAGCCAAGACAGGGGTTCCCGAGTCATTTGTTGAACTAAATAGCACTCGAATTTCACTGAGCACCTCGGCCAGGGTGAAACCCCGCTAAATTAAACCTGCATATATATATGTACATATACATTTAATACTGATGCTTACCTACGGCTTGTAAGCGTCGTTTAGTAAATACGATACACGGAACTTAGAGGAAGGTGCTCAATTCAAGATGCTAGGTGCCGCGATCGCAGGTCTCAATAGTGGAGTCCAGTAATCAAAATCCTGAATTGGAAACTAATCGCTCTGCGCGATGCCGCTATTGGATAACAATTGATTCTAATTCAGAGCCGCACACCCCACTGTGCTATCGGCCCTGTTGGCGTATTCGAAACTGCAAACCAAAGAGGCCAGAACCAAGAAAACTATGCGATTTGGTCTTCGATCGTGGATTGAGGATCCAAGCTTCAAGCGCCGGAATGGGATCATTGCCTAACTCACCATAAATACGATACTTCTGCTCATAGTTTCTCCCAGCTGACACCATTGTTTGTCTAAACTATTGTAGCGTCGCCACAAATGGATAGAGTCTCCGATCTCACTGAAGCCGCTTTGGGGCCACTTGATAGACTTCCCCAGGAGCTATTTAGTAATGTTACGCACTTTCTAACTCCATTGCAGAAACAACGGGTGATCGAAAAGCTCGATAATCCCGAAGAGAAATTCTTTAAGGCCGAAATTTTCTCTGCTTGGATCTGGAGCAAGATATTTAAGCTAAAGTCGTGGCCAGACCAAATAGCCGAGCGACTTCCGAACGAAGATCTTGCTCTTATTAGTCCTGATCTTGAAAAGTTGTCTCGTCATCCGAACGCTGACGCATTTCTACTACTTCTGGTACTTGACTGGTCATGGGATACTAGATACCAGAAGCCTGGTTTGTTTGAATCCTTCTAGAGCCCTGATTTGTATGACAAGCAAAGAAAAGAGATTAGGTTAGCAGGAACTTGCATTAAAGTCTAACTTGGTCGTGACCCGTGGGGTGAGGTAACCGAAGTCAGAGATCCAAGTGTGTTTTTCCGCCAGAGTAATGGGAAGCTATGGACGAATATTCTCTATTATTCCGATGACAGTATTCACACTATAGGAGAAGAGTGCATTAGAGGAATCGATGGAGTGGACCGAAGAAACAAGCAACATATCCGCGAGAGGTGTTCAGTGGATATACTATTCAGGGATGGAATCGTGCGGGATATGATGCTATTGGCTCATGAGAGGCCAACTGAGGTTTTTGGAATAAAATCCACTCGGAGAGGGGGATCAATAACAAGGTGGAGATTGCCGAGAGAAGGTGATGACTGGCGGTGGCTCAGCACCCACTATGAACACTAGATACCGGACCATACTAGTAACTGGTATAAGTCAGCCCGAAGGGCGTTTATTAATGTACCATGTTTCCTTATCTTCCTAACAGTTCAGCATGGGAGGTTGGCCATGTACGTGAGTTTTGAGGGGGATAGGCATGAGGCAGTCCGCGCCACCGGAGCGTATGATCCGCCTCCCGACGGTTCATGATTAAGAGGAGTGCCTTGCTGTCCAGATATATCTTGTTGTACATTAGCGTGTGATGAAATCTAAACCCCCATCTCGCCACTCACATTCCGCAATAGGCTTTATATCGGGCAGTGCGTAACTCGTCGAGAACCGCATTGCAAAGAAGGTCGATGTCCCTTATAGACATGGTAAGAGATAAACTCATAGGGCCGTAGGACAGGGCTTTAATGGCGTGACTAAAACCAGCCCCAAACCAAAATGCTACGTCTCTCTCGTGACGGTCTTCCGACCAAGGAGTGAAGCCGACCCTGATTGAGCAATCGTGGATATCTGAAAATCCAGCAGTTCTGAGTTGTCTTCTCGTTCGCTCTGGTTCCACTCTCATCGAACGACCGTGCAGATCCATGGCGCGCAGCAACTTGTCAGTCCAGTCGATAAGGGCGCATTTGTACGGAATATTGCCGCCCTTGAATCGTGGTTCCCAATCTATTTCTACCTGCTCTAAATATCCGACATTCGGTTTTAAGTGTCTGCCAGTAAATTAGTAACGCGCCGATAGAGGAACATGTTGGACTGTGACTTTCGAACCGATGTATCTTCCTGTACATGTCTTCCCAACAACGAACAGCCCCAAAGAGCGTTCGGACATGTATCAAATCCCAGTTACGTTCCATAGGCTTCCAATCGCTCTCTATGTCAAACTTCATGGGGGGCTCCATATTTGCCGGGATCCTAGTCATATTAATGAGGGTTACCCCCAGGCGGTCCATGGCTCGTCTTGCTCACCTTTCGGGTTGAATCATATTCATGTCTACCCCGAGTACAGACGCTCGTGGCAGTGCCCTAGATTGAACGCGTCAGGCAACATTCTTTGTGCAACACCCAGTGGACGTACTCGGCCATGTCAATTGACCAGATCCCCGTTCCTGTCCCGAGATCAAGGATCCGTAAGTCTGTTGTGGTATCCAGTGGCGAGGAGAACAGGGCATTGCCCCGAGCTGTGAGGAAGAGTTTGTGAAATATATCCAAGCGCTGCAGCTCTTCCTGCACGGAGCATGTTTAGCAGCAGTCCGGTGTCCGCAGGGCAATTGAGCTTACCTCGTCAATTGGAAATATATACTTGCTTCTCTTCAGCTTGTCGTCACTTCTTCCATACCATCGATCACCAAATAGACGTTGCACATGCTGCAAACGCTCGGGATACTGTCTATGGGCGTGATCTAGGTGGCCAATGTCAGTTCAGTACATTCACCGCCGGACTCTTAAGCACTTCAGCTGCAAAGCGAACAGGGTCTCCTGCAGTGTTTACCCTCTGGATTCATAGCGAGTGGAACCGCGTGTGCGTTTTGATGTAGCCGATGTCTCATGTACGATCCTCGTTTCAGACAATGCAGGAGGAAGAAATCTCGGTTCGGGTAATGCTCGGACTTTTTCATAAGCCGCCAGAGCCTCGGGGCACGCGAAGCAGCAACACTAATTCTGGGATGCGGCTTCTGAGCAGAATGTTGCATGTATCAATAGCAGTCATAGTCGGCCAGGCTTCCTTTTTTATTATTATTATTGTCATATGTGCTGGTTAGCTCGCATGGTCTATTAACAAACAGCTTGACGACAGCTGGCCGGATATTTTGATGGCCCTCATGTTAGGCATTGGAGACCTGGCGGGGTGGGCGTATTTGATCATTTGAGCTTGGTTCTGGACAGTCATAACTCTAACGAATACTTATTGCGGTGTCAATTACACCTCAAAAATGCTCGCATTCTCCTATCCCTTTGTGTCGTTTAGACCATGACTGCATCCAAAGTATATACATTGTCTGCCGAATTGAGTTTCCCTTTGCATCACCAAGTGATTTGCACCGTTCTAGGGTGTCGCCTCATCGACTGCTACTGGCGACGAGTCAGAGCGGACCATACCTTCTCAGGCAGAACTGGATCTCGTATATGGCGTATTCTCAAGCAGTTAGTGAAGGTGTCATCCGGTCAGCCATGCCAACTTCAAGGGCATCTTGCTGTTGAAGTCAGACGACAGTGCATTGCTGCCTGAACCCGAACTCGGCAAAGTTCAGGGTCTCCATTCCATCGCCGCCAGATGCATAGTATCCCAATGCCCACTGCACGCCGAAACACAACGCTGGAGTATGAGGCAAAGACTGGAAGCATCTAGTCGAGGACGTATTCGAGATGCTAGAGTGACTGGGCCGCGCCTGTCCCTACGGCCTTATTTGCATCGCTCCAACGTGCAGTGAAGCGATCGACGGCGTCGGGGAACAAGCCAAGCAAGCTTCTGCATATAGAGGTGCCATTTAAGCCATTGCATCAGATCAAGCACGGCGGTTGCTAAATTATTCTTAGGTCTTTTGACATGTATGTCACCTACAAAAGGAGAGCATTTGTTGGTGCTACACAGGTTTGGTGGGGTGCCAGAATTGTGCATTGTAGTTATAGCAGCGAGGAGCCCAGGCCAGCACAGGTGTCTTTGGGCCGCAAGTGGAGGATCGAGTGACTGCAAGTCACCTACTCCGTAGATGTGCAAAGATACTTGCTCAATGGTGCCAGCTTGTCACTAGGACTTTGTCTAATTCTCGACCGCTGGACTGCACTGAGGATACTGACAGGGTGTAAACGCTTGGACGACGCGAACCAAACCATCGCGTTCGCGCCACCCCGGCCTGTACACTAGCTGAGCGCGCTGGGTCTTGAAGACCTGTTTTATTTTTCTCTAATACGCAAAATCATGATCAACTACGTCGCAGCGTCGCCTTCCTATTGCTCCTAAAGTATCTTCAAGATTTCCCCTGCTTTTTCGCGTGTCTGGGTGATGTTTGCCTACCATTTTCTCCCTCAGCTCGAGTGTCTGCTGATGCTTCTGCTCTACCTCCTCGTACCTCCCTAGTTCCTATGCGCAAGCCAACCTGGCAAGGTTGTTTATGCTGTCAATTGTGCACGAACAGTTGCTAAATACTCTGTTATAGCCAATAAGGACCTGTCACTCTGCTTTCGACAGAGGGGAGTTTCTCGTAAAGCTTGGTGCCCTACTGAAATTGTAGGCGCTGATAATATACCACCGTTACATTATACTTTTAAATTCGCCAGAACCGACATTGCAGAGCTCCTTCTGCGGCATGGCGTGCCCGTGGATATCGCGGTTGGTGAAGCTGGGAAATATATGGAAGTCAAGAGGCCGCAGAACCAGCCCTTTCTTTGCAAGCCGCATAGCGCTGCATTGGTTGGCCAAACCGCGATGGTTTCTTTCGACTGTCCTCTCATGCAGTAGTACCAGATAATACAATTGGCTCGCCGTCGCCAAATTTTGGGCAATTCACAATTTCTAGTGCCTGTTCTCTTGTGCCATTGTCTCTCTAGGTGTCTCTTTTTAATTCACCTCCACGGTTCATCACCCCGCAACACCACCCATCCGAAGCTCTCCATGAGCTCAGAAGCTGGGTGCTCTAGGACTCCTGAATAGAGACTTATGACAATCTTATTCAGCGAAAAAAAAAGCGTTTCAAGAGCCCATCAATCTTCATTAAGACTGCTCTTCTGCATTGTGGCTCATGGTCCTTGCCATTGATCAAAACACTGGAGTTGTTGCTGTGAACGAACAATTCTAGCGTAGTGAGCTTGGCGCATCTTTCTTCAAGTAGCTTCAAGATGAGCAAATCTTCTTCCCTAACAAGGACTTCCCCTGGTGGACATCCCGACCTTGGATCTGACCGAGAACCCAAACCCGATCCTAGTGTGCAGCATCAGCTAGAAGAGCGAACAGAGTTGCAAGCTATCCTAAGTGATTTCAGACGAGACTTGGGTACAAATCATATCACAGACCGCAAGATCCGAGCGGTTGACCTTATGGTTCTTCTGGCATCTCGCCGTGAGGTGCGTTCTCCTGCCCAATCGTCATCCACATCAACCCTGTTGCATGGAAGCAATACGCGGGGGGGCTCTCCCGACATCAAGCCTGTAATGCCTAATGTCAATGTTAAGGAGATACCTCTTGTACTCGGTAATACGCAGTGCATATATTGTGTCGGTCAAGAGCAGCTCCCATACAATAGGCGCATGCGCCCATTCAAGCGTGTGTCTCATATGATGGACCATGTGGAAAAAGTGCTTCTCAGGCACGAGCACCAGGAAGGAACGTTTGTTTGCCGCCACCCGCAATGTGAGCATTTGGGTGACTTCCTAATTAGTTTGGATGCCTTTAAGGACCGCGTGCATCGAGTACATGGCGTTAAGCTTCGGGCTAGCAAACCGCAGGAGACTCTTTAGTGTTACGTTCTTTGGTGTGATCGAATGAAGCATGGGGTAACTTGATTGACATGTTCGTACTACATGGTAGATTACTATTTCATAAAGTAAGGTTAACGGCTAGCACTTAAGCGAGCTTTCATTGTCCGTTCGAGCCGAGGAACTGCTACCATTTCTGCGTCATTGCCTATGGACACCAACTCCAGCTTCGAGGTGA